GGTAATTTACCATAAATCCGATCTCCATTAAATTTTGCATGCATGTTAAGAATCATATGTTGCATGTGCTCACTTAATTTCACGCAGGGTTGAGTTTTCCTTTAGGAGTTATTGACTTTTTGTGCGCACTAAACCACACTCAGTTTTGTAAATAACCCTGTTATGACTGTCTAAATAAAAAAATTCAACATATTTTTTTGATTAATTATTGATCTAGAGAGTCCAGAGAATTGTACTATGCTGGTTTTGTGGTGTTTGATTAATTATTTCATGGTATATGTCCAAACATGCACTCATTATGGAGACAGGGCAGGGCAGGCTTTAACGAGGCAGCTGGCAAGGGTTGTACCACCTCATACAAGTGCGCGCGCACACACACACACACACACACACACACACACACACACACGCACACACACATTCATCTACATCCATTTATTCCACTCTCACCACCACTACTACTCTAGTAGAAGTTAAAAAGATGTACACCTGGTTGGACCCAGTGATTTTATTGCATTGTGTTAAGTAAAAATAACTCAAATATTAGAAGCAATATATTGGGACAGAATTATGAAGCGGAAGCAAAAGCCAAAAAAAAAGTGCTATTTTTAAATGTACAAGTATTAAAAAGTAAAATGTTTTAATTGATAAAATGAATGTCATGTTTTCATGTGAAAAGTAACTTTTATTACTTATCTAAAACTGTTAGACGGTGGTTTTTGTTTTTAAGCAACTCCGCAGTTTAACATTCGACTTGCTGCCTAGCCAGTTCCATTAGCTACTGGAACTGATGCTAGTCTAACCTAGCATTAGCAAAGAAAACAAACTGACTTAGTTAAATATATCCAGTTACTGTTAGCAAATTAGCAACACTTTTAGAAATCTTTCCTCAACATGCTTTTTCACATTAGATGGATTCCCTGCCTTCTGTGGAGGCAGATGAGACGCCTCATTTTATACGAGTCTTTGCTAACTCAAGCATACTGAAACATCCTCAAGTTCCACACTGCAGTCCGGTGGATTATCCTTCTTCACACTCATGGATAGCTATATCGCTAACTCCATTATGGATCAAAAGGTTCACTGGTTTAAAATATAACCCAATAAACTCTTATGATTTAACATTGTGTGATTTCACAATACATGCACTGTACATACCAAACCTAGACCCCAGTCTTCCACTGTCTGGTTTGGGTGAGCTTCTGTCCACTGTAGCCTCCGATTGTTGTTCTTGGCTGACAGGAGTGGAACCTGATGTGGTCTTCTTCTGCTGTAGCTCATCCATCTTAAGATTCGACATGTTGTGCATTCTGAGATGCTTTTCTGCTCACCACGGTTGTACAGAGTGAGTTACTGTAGCCTTCCTTTCAACAAGAACCATTCGGTCCGTTCTCCCCTGACCTCTCTCAACAGACGGTTTTGCCCACAAAATCTTTTCTATTTTCTTTTGTTTGTTTTTCGCACCATTCTCTGTAAACTCTAGAGACTGTTGTGTGCGAAAATCCCAGGAGATCTGCAGTTTCTGAAACACTCAAACCAGCCCATCTGGCAACAACAGCCATGCTGTAGTCAGTGAGATCACATTTTCTCTCATCCTGCGTTTCCCTTTAGTGTTCCCAATGAGTGACCAGTGAGTGCATATGTTTAATTATTTACTGAGTATATTTGAACAATAGATTGGCCAATCCAGGACATTTGAGCTAAAACATTTACAAAAAAAAAGGAGAAAACGAAGTGGAAAAATGAATTTTTAGGGTATGATTAATATGTTCACATGCTCTCATTCTTGTAAGAGCTAACCAAATAACCTGAATCTGAAGAAACTGCACCTATTGATGTAGTCCTTAAATGATTATATTGTATACTATTAGACATATATTCCTTTTTTACATATATTTAATAAACATGCACAGCACAAAGCAGTTTGGTTACCTCACAATAAAGCTTTTGGTAATAATAATAATAATAATAATAATAATAATAATATGACTTAGATCATTATAAATAACATCTATAGACCTAACTTAGACTTAATATTCAATTTCTTACTTGTTAGCCATATGGATTTTGCTGCTTAAAGATTAAAGTCTTTTTTATATATCATAACTGATTTGCAAACAAAATTATTATCTGTAAGTCAGTTAGAACTAAGACAAACTATAAAACCCTTAACAACCAAAAATAAACTTATATTTCTATTACCCTTCTATTTCCATTTTTCATATTGTACCAGATAAAGCTTTAAGTGAGCTACTTTATCAGCTGAGAGCTCAGTAGAAGAGGATGGAGGAGAGCAGAGGGACGATCATGAGGAGGAAACTCCGTGTGTTACTCGCAGAACTGTCGCCTGAGGAACTCCCGGCGTTACTCGCAGAACTGTCACCCGAGGAACTCCCTGAATTACTATCAGCACCATTACACAGGTTCCCCTCACAGCACTTCACATTTGATACACCGATTTCTGGCGTGCCTGATGATCCAGATGCAACGCAGAAGTTCTTGGACACACATCCTTTCAACACAGACAGAGTATTACTTCCTAGGCGAACTGAGAAAGAGAGAGAGAGAGAGAGAGAGAGAGAGAGAGAGAGAGAGAGAGAGAGAGAGCGGGGAATAAATAAATAAAATTACAAACACTTTCAGACATGCGATTCTCAGTAATCACAATGCTCATCTTCCATCATATAAGGCTCCTGTGGTGAAGCATTCTGTAATTTATGGAAGGAGTCTCCAGTGTCAGCACTTTGTAATAGCTGAAAATCACTTTGGATCATTAATATTCCTGTAGATTTGATCGAAAGCCATTATACAACAGGGGAGCTGTTAAATAAATGTAATTAATTATTAATTTGGTTTATATAGTTGTCATTTTGTAAAGCACTTTGAATTTCCTTTTGTATGAAATGTGCTATATAAACATGTAATTATTATTATTATTATTATTATTATAACAAGAACTTTGTGGATGTTCCACAACATTACATGCAAGTAAGTAACGGTTAAAAAGCACTACATGTTCTTTAATAAATTGTAATCGTTGGCAAATCTCTGTGGTATGAGTGAAATAACACTCTTTGGACCATTCTGACAAAAAATGTTAAACACTGGGGTGGGAACAGTAACCGTGCTTTACGTCGAGCCATGCACCACAGCATGGATTATTTGTACATATAACTGCATGGTCTTTCGTGTGTTATTCCTTACATAAGCACTCAGCAAAGAGAGACTTACATCATCACTTTTTTGACCTTTTGCTCTGTTCAGATGGGCAGTTGTACTGGGAAACGGTCTTGTTACAGAAAGTGTGGAATACAGAGATGAACGTATTCACCTGATGCGGTCATGCAGCGATCTTCATCTCCTTCACAGCTCATTTTGAATGAGCGGCCGTTAGCGTCACAGGTGTAACACATTCTCCCATTGGGAGCCTGCTGTGGAAGAGCTTAATAACGAAATAAAATCAAACAAACTGCTCACCGTGGTAAACTATAATCTACTGTAATCTTTTAGATGTAATAAGATGTAACGTGCCCTATGCTACATGAGGTATACAACACACAGAGACAAAAAAGAAAACTGCCAGAGATTAAATAGCAATAATAGGTTTCTATTGTAAAAGAATTGGAGAGTGGAGTAACTTTCAGAAGCGCTTTGTTTTTACCTGGCAGTGTTTCAGAGTTGCAGAGATCAGTGCTGCAGCATTTGACATTGTGGGTCATTTTCAACATTCCCAGGTTCATGCTCATGCTAACACACATCTCTGTCACGCCGCAAGTCTTCATTTTACCATATGACAAATTTGTACCACCTGCAGAACATTCCACATGAAATTACATGATTTCATTTACCTACATGAACATCTTATGTCAAAAAATGATCAAAAATCAGATCAGGTCAGAAATAAGGAACAATGTGATACAGCCAGGTCTAAAAATATGTGGACACTGACAAAGTTATTGTTATATTAGTTGTCTACTCCATTATATCGGAGTTGAAAAAAAAATATGTTTTTGGGTAAGAGTCCAGCAACTTCGCACATTTTGATCTGCAAATTTAATTCCATTCTTCCTTGAAAAATGCTCTAGATCTATCAGACTGTGCACAGACCTCTTCAAGTCATTCCACTCAACACACACACACACACACACACACACACACACACACACACACACACACACACACACACTTACTCGAGTACACACAAGTGGTCATAGTGAGGCACTGATCTGAACAGTTTGTCTGTACATTGTTACATGTTCCAGACACTGATGGCAGACACTGGAGACAAGTCAGTGACAGCGCTGAAGAAAAAAAATAAATGAGAATGAAAAGCAGAGCCAGTTTAATAACGAAAAAAACATACACACAAAGGAATAAACTATTGACCAACCGATTTACTAAAATGAATTCTATTTATTTCGTCTATTCAAATTGTGAGCTTCATTACCTTTGGAGAAAAGCGTGCAGACGAGCAGCAGTGTGACTTGAGACGTCATCGTTAGTGTTTCTGTAGACGTTGAGGCGTGAAGGTGAAGCAGACGGGGTTCAAATGTGAGTAAGCTCTGACAGGAAGCCGGGTTTTATAGTGATTCATATTGAGGCTAACCCTAGGTGTGTATATGGAAGGAGGGATTTATTTCATGTTCACTACAGAAAGTTCAGTGAAATGTTCTGCAGTGTTGGCACATGTTCAGTGTTGTCTTTTTAAAAGACATCGTTTTGATGCCACCAGATCCTTTTTTCATCTCACTTTTGTTAAACATGCTTTCTGAGCATAAACACAATCTCATCTTTGCTTTGCTTATGCCTTTTCGCTATTACTTTAACAACCACAAATAAAAAAAAATGTCATCACACTTCGGAAATGAGTTTCCCATTCTTTACAATAAATCCGGTATATAATAATCAGATTTAGTCTACTACAAGCGTACGCCAGTTCTGTGGTGATTTGAATTAGCATTGTTTTTTTTTAAATTCAATTTACACTATTAATTACTGGGTCTCTGGAGGACTAGTGGTTAGGCCTCAACACTCGCACCCCCGCAGCCCGGGTTCAATTCCTGGCCAGGGAATCAACCCCAGCCACTGGGGCTGCACACGACTGTGCACTTCCAGCACCGGTCCCAAGCCCGGATATAAAATTGGTGAAGGAAGGGCATCAGGTGTAAAAACTGCGCCAAATCAAATATGCAGGCCAATGATCTGCTGTAGTGACCCCTAAAGGGAGCAGCCGAAAGGAGAACAACAACAAGAAATATGAATTAAGCAGTTAAAAAAGAAAGGTTTAAAAAAGAAAGAATTTAGGAAATTATGAAAGAAAGCCAGAAAAAAGGATTAGAAGGAAGAAAGGCAAAAAAAAAAAGGTGTGGTGGAGTTGCGAGTGTGTAATTAAGTGTAATTTGCATGAAGTTGGGCGAACAAGGAAAATGTCAGTCAAGGTACAAACACTAACCGCTCCTTTAACGCTCTTATCCTAATCATCATTTCACGGCTCATGCTACTGATTAGCCACTGGGTCAGATCAATATATTTCAGTATTAGGATTTTACATTATCTACTGTAATATTCACTGAAAGTTTTTTAAAAAGTAGAAAATCTGTAAAAGGGTTGCAGCTTTGTGAACAGAGTAATGCAGTACATCAACTAAAAAAAAGAATGAAATGTCGCATGTCATTTGTGTTCATTTTTCTTCTCTGTTGATTTTAACCTCTCAAAATAATTTTCTAAAAAATTGGAAAAATCGTCATTGACATTGAAATATTTCTGGTATCTAAAAGTAAAGATTCCACAAATTCTTTATACATTTTTAAAAATATACATATATAAATATACAACAAATATATAATTCTTTAAAAAATTTATAATATTTTCATCCAAATCTGTACAAATAGAATTTCACTGAGAATTTTATGAGAAGCTATATAAAACTTTATAACAGCTTTCTAACATGCCGAATAACCAGATTTCTTACATAAGATTTTTAAAAAGATTTATATGCCATTTTACGGTAGTAAATGATCTCGGAAAAACGAACATCCTAATGTTAATCAGACAGTGAAAATGAAGAGGCATCAACTCAATTCATAGAATCAGAGCAGAGGAGAGATACGAGACACTGGCTCTCTCTTTTCATTTCATTTTTACCTTTTAGCATCTTTTTAGGTGCCTTGAATAATTATATTGCAGATGCTTTATCAGAGAGTGCAAATCTCATGAAAAACTACATGGGAAGCACAGTGATCGCGTTGCTGACCGTGGAGGTGAGGGCGTGGTCGAGCGCCCGTTTGTGAATGCAGGGTGGATTTGACAGAGGGAGTGGTAAGGATGAGCCTGCACCTGTGGGTGATTTACTAACGATTGTTCTGTGTTTAGGCAAGCGACGCTGAGGAGATAAATGGAGACGAGCCCTTCTGAGTTGCCCCAAAGCCTGACTCCCATTTCCTCATTTCCTGTTCAAACACGACAGAGTGTCACAATGACGTTTTATCACCTATGGCATATATTTAGCACAGCCGATCTGCCTACCTGCATGTATTTGGACAGTGAGAAGAAACCAGGGAATGCAGAGGAACCCAGGAGAACATGGGGAGAACATGCAGAACTCTGCACAGGCAGTAACCTGAGCTCAGGATCGGACCCTGGACCATGCAGCTGCGCCGTCATGCCGCCCCTGAGATGGACAGATTTTTTTTCTCGGATTTGAAATGACTGATGTTACACTTGACTGAATGTTCGATTGATTTGTGTTGAATGTATTTACATGTATATTTCTTCTGTGATTGAATGTAGTTTTTGTATCTTTGTAAATTTGTGCAATTCTTTTTTAAAAATTTGGTCTCGCAGCATTTAGTCTTTTGTATAATTCCACATGTTGTGTTTTAGCAAGTCACTCCTGATTCTCTGCAGTAACAGCTTTCTGGAGTAGGACTGAATTAGTCCTGCTACATTCTGTGTGTGTGTGTGTGTGTGTGTGTGTGTGTGTGTGTGTGTTTTCCTTGCTTGCGTGTGCCATCTGAGTTTACAGTTTGATGTAAATGTACGAGTAAATCATTTTAGGTGTACTGTAATGTTTTCTTTCGGGTTGGAGGTTTGGGATTTGTGCAGAGAAGCGAAGTGTTTTGGGATTGTGTTTTAGGTTGTGAGAAAGTGAGACGATGGTGTAGTGAATTGTGTTGAGGCAGTTATATAGAAAAATATAAAAAATAAGTGTAACAGAAAAAAAAAAAATAAACGTGATCATAAACTTTCCACCTGTGAGGTTCTGTGAGGTTGAATAATAGTAAGTAATGTCCTGTGTTGTTTCTTCCAGGCTGAAGCCTTGCAAAGATATCAGCCAAACAATGAAATTAGGCACGTTTGAACTTCTTAAGCGCATAAAATTGGGGTGTAGACATACAAAGTGCGGCTGGTGGTAGAAAATGAGTGAAAAATGTATGCAGGAGTTTTGAAGACTGTGTTCAATAAATGCATTTTGTTTCAAAACCAGTTGTATTAAAATGGTAGGGTGCGGTACGGAACTACAGGTGGGGCACGGGTGAGATAGACAATATTAATTACTTGGTGGTTTCAGACATGCCAACCTTTCACATTTGCCTAGGAGCTTCTCCACATTTTAGCAACAGATTTTTTTTTCTTAGTAAGAACTCCAGATGAGCTAATCGGCATGCGAACAGTTGCAAAGTTGGTTTGAGCTCTGTGCCTGAAAGATGTGAAGCCCTCACTTTCTGTCCATGATATTTTAGCTAATTAATGTGATCATTTAAAAAAAAACTATCAGTGTATGTTCTGACTCTTTTTCAGCGGAAAGACAACAAGACAAATTTTGACTAGCAGAAAAAACAAAAAAAGATTACGTAGGTGTACAGTGAAGTTTCAAATCTAACACTTTAGAAGTGATTTTAATGCTAATTATAATTGGACAGCGACTTAATGCTGTTTGTTTGCATTCTTCTTGGTCACAAACCACGAGGGACATTAGACAAGAGAACTGTAAAAGGATCATATTGAAAATGTACTGTCTTATGTTTCTTACAGTGTTTACTTTACAGCGCTTTTCCTGCTGTGTTCTAAGTCTGATTTGTTTTATTTTCCAGGCAATAATTTGACAAAATTCTTCTTGGGAGTGGACACAAGTTCACAAGTGAAGTGGGGCACTTGGGGGGGAAAAAAAAAAGCATCTTGTCAAGACAACAAAAATGCATTTACCATCAGGTCCAATGTGTGAAGAGTCTGTATTGTAGTTTATAAAAATAAACTTGGTAGAACAACCTCCTCCTGGACGTCAGCAAGACAAAGGAGTTGATAGTGGACTTCAGCACGAAGCAGGAGAAGAGCTACCACCCGCTTACCAGCTACCACTGTTTCTGATACCTTGGCGTCCACATCGCAAGGTCATGGTCCTGTCACAATAACACCCTGGTGAAGAAGACCCGTCAGCGTCTTTACCACCTTAGACGCTGGGACTTTAAACTGCCCTCTAAGTTGCTAAGGAACTTTTAGACCTGCACCATCGAGAGCACCCTGACGGGAAGCATCACAGCCTGGTTTGGGAACAGCACCAAGCAGGATAGGCGGGCTTTCCAGAGAGTGGTGCGATCAGCTGAGCATACCATCTGCACTGAGCTCCCTGACCTGCAGTCTGTTTACAGGAAGTGGTGCTGGACCAAGGCCAGAAAGATAGTGAAGCACCTCAGCCATCCGAACAATGCACTCTTCACTCTGTTGGAGTCAGGAAAGAGCTTCTGCTCCCTGAAGGCCAACACAGAGAGGAGGAGGAGGAGCTTCTTCGCACAGGCCGTTCGGCCCTCAACCAGGACAGCACATAGCACTAGAGCTTGGACTTGTTTGCACAACACCCACACTCCCTACATTCCTGCTAATAAACCCGTATCACCCCATATTTATAAACATTTATTATACGTGTTGGCAATTTCGCTGCAACTCCCTCAGCCTGATGTTGCACAGCATTGTCTTGCACAAACAACTGCACACATCTGCACTTCATTCCTAATATAGTCACACTGTTGCTGCCACCGATCTTTTATATCCCTTTTATTTTTTTTAGATTTTTTCCTTTTCTACCTGTATACAAGTAAAGTCTAGTCTATGTCAATTCTGTTTTATGTCATGGACATAAAAAGCATTTCGCTGCACATGGTCTATCTGGCCAGAGTTCTGCATGTTCTTCCTGTGTTTCTCTGGGTTTTCTGCTGGTAATCTGGCTTTCTTCCACCTCCTAAAAACCCATGAGCCCATGTAATTGCGCCATCTGTCCACCAGAGGTCCCTTTCCTGACTATCATCTGTTGTCATAACCGCTAATGAAAGGGAAGGCTCTTTCATGGTTTAGAGATTATCTGACCGTTATCAGTTTGTAAATGTTAATAATGACTTCTCGGTAAATACTGTACAAACAAGGCTCTGTTCTAGGGCCATTGTATTTTCCCTGTATATACTACATAACCTGGTATTAGCCTCCACTGCTATGCTGATGACACACAGCTGTATTTTCTGTTTCAGCCAAACCAGATGATGAGTAACTTCCTCCCACTGAATTCCAGCAAGACAGAGGTTTTCTTGGCAACGGTCAGTACAATATATAATGACTTCAGATTTTGGTTTGGAAGATTAACTACTAAAAGTATACACATTTCATATTTAACAGTGATTTTAACTGTAAATATTCAAAGTAATGATTTTTATTTATTTATTTATTTATTTATTTATTTATTTATTTTTGACCAATGTTCTATTTTTCTACTAATTCTTGAAATGGTATGAGTTTATTTTCTTTGAATATGTGCCCAAATGTGAAGCAGTCGCACATGGAAGTAAAAACTCGCACACACTAAAATCAAGCTAACCTATTTTCAGTTCCTGGCAAGGAAATGCATAACATGCCTTCTTCATATTATTAAATTTGATAAAATGGTCAACTGTAAGATCATAAAAACAATCCAGTTATCTTCGTTGAAACCATCTCCTACATTTGACGTTTACTCACCTGTGTATTCGCGTTTATTCACCGTGCTTTAACCGTGTATTTCACCGTATTTAACGTGCTTTACAGCCAT